GTAAAAAATCACAATAAAGAGAGTTTTAAATAAATTCTGCAAACTACTATTTATAAACATCCTTTTTCTTTGAATCCCTTTTTGTAAAGCAACTTCAATTAATTTGGTTATTTATTGTATAATTTTATACCATTGCACAGTGGGCCAAAATTTTTCTTACGTGGCCTAAAGTCTTAAAAAAGTTAAATCTTCTAAACTGTTTTTTTTATTATTATTGAAACATAGGTCTTATACTCAAATCTCCCTATGCAGGTTTCTAAAATATTCCTCAACATAATTAATCCCATTTTGCAAAATAATCGTATTTTCTTATTTGAGCAACACAACCCCCCAGTGCAAGCTCTTTATATATCACATTAAAGATGCAAAAAACCAATTTAAAATATCACATCCCCCCTATGTTTACTTCTAAAATGTTATATCCTCTAATTAATTCATACTATATTTTAGACAATTAGTATTGGGTACTTATTAAAAATTATTATTAAAAATATTTACGTCGATTATGATATAAAATCTTAATGTAAAACCGTATTATCACTAATATTTTTATTATAATTAAAGATAAAGTTATTTTTTATTATTATTATATTATTATTATTATTATTATTATTATTATTATTATTATTATTATTATTATTATTATAGATAAAATATTTTTATTATAATTTAAAATAAAGATATTATAATTAAAGATAAATATATCAGGTAAAGCGAATGATTAGAGGCCTTAGGGTTGAAACAACCTTAACCTATTCTCAAACTTTAAATTGGTAAGAAGCCCGACTTGCTCGATTGAAGTAGGGCACAGAATGAGAGTTCTTAGTGGGCCAATTTTGGTAAGCAGAACTGGCGATGTGGGATGAACCGAACGCAGAGTTAAGGCGTCTAAATCGACGCTCATCAGACCTCACAAAAAAAAAAAAATAAATAAATAAAGCACGATAAAGTACAATATAAATATTAAAAAATAAACGCTAATCACAACAATCTAAAGGACTTTAACAGTGATCGAATATTTAAATAAAAGAAATTGTTAATTAAGATATAAAATACTTTTATATGTTATTTAAATCTCATTCAATATTTTCTTATAAATTTAACGCTTGCAGCACTTTAGCTGATACGAATATAAAATTAAAAGACGGAGGAGTTAATATAAACTAAAATAATAGTTAATAAAATAGGAGTTAATATAAATTAAAACTAATTTAAATTTTTTCATAGTTACTTTAAAACAAAAAAAAAGAAACTCAAATAACATATTTAAAAAATATATACTTTATAATTTTTTTTTTGTATAAAATAATTAAATTCTAATTTAAAACAATTAAATTTTTAGATAAACAAAACGATTGCTATTTATTTGTAAAATATGTTTTTTTTCAATTTTCAAATGAAAGAAAATTTTATTGTCAAACGACTGGGTTGTTTATTTTGCAATCATTAATTGACATTGTGAACAAGTGTTAATATATAATAATGTCCCGAAGGAACTGTTTTTGTAACAATAACAACAGAAGCAATGCAATTATTTTTTTAACTTCTTTCGTAATTACAAAATTATGCAATTCAATAATTTCAACGTAATAAAAGGCGAGCATTGACTCAGTATAATCATTTTAGAATAAGTCAAGAGAGAACTTTTTTCACATTAAAATCTCAAATAATATATTTAATAATTAAAACAGCAATTTATTTTCTTGTCTAAGTATTGGGGAATAACGTCATCACCTTTGCATAAACTTTCGTAAAAACTAAATTAAATGAAAAAATTTAATCAAATTTGTCTTGCGTAAATAATGAATCAGTTTTTTTAATACATTATCTGATAAAGTTAGTGAATAAATTACGTATCAAGTCTTTATTTTCGTGAAAAACTTTATGATTTATTGTCGCCTTTTCCTTCAATTGTATCAAATTTCGTAGCTGAAAATAGCAACCCTAAAAAAAGAAAACAAAAACAGTATAAAAACTTTAGAAAAAAATGTTCAGGACTTTTTTTTTTTTAATTTTTTTTTTATTATCAAAATATTTTTCTTACATCCAATTTCAATTTTATACTTTGTTTAGACTTCGTTTCCTTTTTTTAATATTATTTTTTATTCTCTGTGGATAAGTTTCGCTTGTCCACGAAATATTGCTGCGGTCACATTTTCTGAAAAACTTATTCTATGCGTGGACAAACTTGCTCCTGAGTATGTTCCTAAGGAGCTGCTATCTTCTGTCCTGTCCTTGGTTGGATCAAACAGAATTACTATAACTTTTAGTGATCCTTCACCTATTAATATATATATATATATATATACTTACACACATACATATTTGTATATAAATATGTACAATTAATATTTTTAAAAAGAAGTTTTCAAAAAAACAATTATTAAAATATAATAAGTAATATAAATTAAATAATTTAAATATAAATACCTGAATCTATTCCAACCTTTACAAATGTGTTTTGTGGAACCTGCCCTCGATATTTCATTACAAAATCCAGAAATGTTGTAATATCTTCAATATATACCAAGTGTCTCTTCACTGTAGCATAGTCATTATCTTTTTCCTTTTCTTGAAAGTCTAATAATTCAGTGACATAAAAGTTGGAAAGTAGTTTACTTTTTTCATCCAGGGCTTTCTCCATGTTTGACTCAAACTTTACACCGCATCTCCTCAAAGTTTTTAACATTTCATTTGACTTCAATTGACTAAGTCCTAAGGTATTTACTAAAACTTCTACTTCATTATAAAGAATCTTTCTCTGGTCACTTTCTCGAGTACCGAGTGTAATATGAATACTTTTACCTCCTTAATATAATATAAACTGTTATTTTAAAAACGTACGTAACAGCTATTTTTATTTAACAATATTTTACCTGTTCTGAGAATGGCTTGAGCCATTCTCAGAACAGGCAAAATCTAGACTTTGTTCTTGATCAGAAACAGGTAAATTCTAGACTTTGTTCTTGATCAGAATAAATTTTTTTTAGAAGGGAAGAAGCTACTTGTTCTTTTACTTTTATAGAAATTTTAGAAATACTCTCAGAAAGATTTGTGCTACTCTTTAAAGGGGAACATTTGTGGGGTTTACCTTTAGCAATTTCACAGAAACATATTTGGCAAAATTTCAGTGTTGAGCTAGTTCCCTTTTTCATAATTTTATTTAATAATCTATTTCTTCCTTGACTGAATATACTGCATAATATCGAGCAATCTCTAGAGGTTTGCAAGCTAGAAAAATCAGAATTTTTCCATTTTAAAGTAACTGTGTCTGCAATAGTTTTACCAGACTTACGGAGATATAAGTTTTTCTTGCAACCTGGGCATAATCCTGTAGGGTAGGCAAATACTTTAAGTGAAAACTCAGGCTTACAGAAAACTTGAACCAGACCTTCCAAATTTTTATTAACTGGAATGCATTTGTTGTTCTTTTCAAGGCAGCAACAGTAAATGATCTTTTGAACAAGTACATGATTTCTTTTAAAATGGTATTCTCTCTTCTCCTTAGAGAGCAGAGGAGCCATAGATTCAATATATTAGGTATCTATAATAAAATAAAAATAAAAATGCATAGTCAAAAAGAAATCTTTTAAATAAAAAATGTTTTTTTGACCAACTTTGTGTATTTTTTTTTTATTAATATTTATGTATAAATATTAAATTAAATACCTTGAAAAGTTGGTATATGAACTTTTTTTAAATAAACTTCAACTTTCTGTCAGTATATTTAGTTATTTTAAGTACGAAAATAATGACTTTTTATCAGATTTTCAATGTCAATTTTCTAAAAATGTGATACCTCCCAGATTTTTCTAAATATAAAAATGAAGTGTCCAGATGCCCCACTTCCTATATTTGTTAACATTTTTGGGGTACTCGGATAGTAAACTTAAACCTTAAATTTCTGACCTGTGTATATATATATATATATATATATATATATATATATATATATATATATATATATATATATATATATATCTATATATATATATTTATTATATTTGATAAATATAATGATAAAAATTTTCATTTGTTTGTATTTACATTAGGTTAGTATTAAATTGTTTTCAATTAAGTTCATTTAGAGAGCATGGTGCAAGAAGAGAACCTCTCCAGCCCCTCTATTGCTAAGCAAGATACTAAACTTCTAAATAGTTTCTTAATAAGTAAGTGACGTTGGTTATTAATAAAAAAAAGATATATTGAGATCTCTGTTAAGAGCATTCCTAAAAAAATGAAAGTCGCCTCTTTTATTATCATATTTTATGCATTTTCGTAAATATAAGCTTACCTTAAAGAGTAAAAACAACAACTACGTGTTCAGCATGTGTTCAGGTGAAGTTTTTATTTCTTTTACTTTTCTTTATTCGATAAGATACAGCCCCATTGCTTACACATCTTAACAAGATGTTCTGTCAATCAATCGTATGTCATACTTTCCACCAAAATAACTTTCCACCAAAGTATAGAATATTGAATAATTGAATTATTTATATGCAAGAACACATAAAAAATGCATAACTTTTTTTTTTTTTTAATCAAAGAGTTATTCTACTAATAAATTCTTAACAAACTTTAATCAAGTTAATCCATTAAAACTGTATATTTACTCTATTGTCTGCAGCAGCCAAGGGTGGTGTTAAAGGGTAAAAAGTAAGTGCTGAGATTAAGGGTTAAGCTCTTCAATGCAATCAAAGAATCCGCAATGCAATATGTTGATGTTGTTTGGTCGAATTAAAGAACATAAGCTTTGATCCTTAATAAGAATCTCAATTAATATTGTTTCACCATTTTCAATGACTTCAAAAAGGCCATAAACATATGAATTTCTTTCATGTCATTCCGGTAGATTTCGAGGTGATATTTAATAATAAACTGATTAAAAAGCAAAAATTTTAATAAGAGGCGATTTTCTGGGGGCGAAATTTACATGCTTCTTGCGTCATGCTCTTTTTGTAATTTTTAGTGCAATTAGAATATATTTTTTCTTTGCTTAGGTTTCCCCTAATAGCCAGCTCCCATTAGAAATCCAGTACCAGTCATTAAACTGGGAGTGCAAGCATTCTGGAGCAATTAAATCTCGAGGAAAAGGAAAGCGTCAGGTAGTCATAAAAATATTTTTCTTAAACTCATCTTTGTCTTATCATAGTCTAACTCATATTTAAATTTAATCACATGTGGTATTTAATGTCATAATATGTGATAAAATAACCTTAGGCCTTGTACTGAACATCAATAAAACTGTTGTTCAGTATAATCCTAAATCATTTACCTTCTCTGTAGATGTATATGTAGGTAATTTACCAGCATTTAAATTAAATGCATTCAAATATAGCATTTAAATAATAATAATAGAATTTAAATAGCTATCGGTTAGCTTTTATATAACATAACAATTTTACATAACTTAGTGTATGAATCCTACCTGCTTTTTTTTTAGACTCACACTTTTGCTAATGGATGTTCTATGCAAATAACCATAGTGTATGAATTTTGATTTATAAATGTTATATTGAATTTTATGTTAGAATACATAATAACTACATTTGTCATATAGGACAAATAATCAACATAGTTTAATTAAGATAATTTGTTTTATTATTTTTTATATATTTTATGATATATTTTGTTATGCAATATAAATTGCATCCAAAGAAATTGTTGACTTTGCAAAGGTACAGTATCAACTAAGCTATCCAGCGACAGGGCAGATTTTATGTGTAAGAAGAGCTTTTATAAACGACATGGATATCTATTTATGGTTTCACAGTAAATATACTACAGTAATATACAGTCCTGTTCTGTTCATTTAAAAATTTAATCAAAACCTTTACTTATATTTTTGTCATAAGGAAATAGATAAAAGTAAGAACCGTCTAAACTACACAGGTTTAGAACCATAGCCATTAAACTTGAAAACAAAAAGAAAACAAAAATTTTGCTTACAAAAAGCGCTTCTTGAAATTAGAAAAAAAGTTTCAATATTTTTTTCATGAGTCAGTTTACTTTTTATAATTGCAGATTCAATCGTGTTATGGGTAGTTTTGTTGTGTCAACATGTAAACTAAACCATAATCATGATGTTTCCCCAGACTTGATTAGGTTATATCCAGAACATCGGCGCCCATCAGGAAAGCTGGCAGAAGATGTTGATAACATGTTGTCAGTAAATGGAAATCCAAGTCTTGTTTCACAAGTGTTACACAAGGAAGGTTTAGCTGTGCGTGTTAAAGATATGCACAATCGAAAGCAAGTTCTTATAAAATCAGGTTAAATGAAATTTAATCCGTACATGTTACTATTTAATTTGTAATGAATTCCATTTAATACTTTTTTCATATCATTAGGTTCAACGTTAACTGCAAGACTGCGTTCTATACTTGCATTACCAAATGTTCACTATCGCTTTTTAGAAACAGAAGATCATCAATTTCAAGGTTTGTTTTTCCAAACAGATATACAAAGAACATTGTTCTACAAGTATGGAGAAATGATTCAGATGGATGCAACTTATAAGGTTTAAAAATATTAGTTTAATCATCTCTGTATCTAATGTTTGCAGTATCGGGATCCCGGCCTATTTTTTAATTCCGAAATCCTGGGTTCCATCAACTTAAGTACATTCACGTTACTTGTGATTCAATTAAGTCTCATCCTTTTACTTTGACTATTCATAAATCCAAAAGTTCTTATTTTTTTCCTAATAGTGCTTGCTTGCAGCCTTGTTGGAAGTGTTTTTAAGAAAATGTCATTTTCATTCACTTATTCTCTATCTAAACGTGTAAAAATGAAACTAATAGCACAATTTAGAATTTTTTTAGTAAAGCTTTAACAATGAAAACTATTTTACCGCGGATATGACAGATATTTACTCATACAAAATACCTAATGCTTATTTTAAATACAACTAATGAATGAAAAGACTGAACTAAAGGTATTAAATATAACTTGCTTTTTCAAAAATAGAATTTTAACCAAAAAATAATGATTTTTTTTTATTCAAAACCTTCATGATTTTAATTTAATAACAAAGTTCAGTGGAAAAGAAAAAAAGTGTAGTAATTTTTTTAAAATTCCTTATTTGCATTCTTCCTCTCCTATTAAAAAATATTGTTTAGTAATAAATAATTTTTTTTATAAGGTCTTTTAATTTAATTGCATTAATTTGATAAGCTTTCCATTATTAAGTTATCAATAATTGATTTTAAAAACACTCTTTAAACCATATTATTCCTTAAAAAGTCTTAAATAAGCAAGGTATTGTGAATAGAGACTAGTTTAGTGCTGAGTTAAAAGGAAGGAAGTTATGTAGGGGTGTAGCACTGCCGATAACCAGATATGCAATTTTGCTCTCAACAAGGCTACATTGCAATGTGATAGTGTTTAAAATCATAAAAAATATTATATGCCAGGGGTTCTAGTTGTATTAGATTGTGTTTATAAATGTTGAACAAATATACTTTTTAGACAAATAATTATCGTTACCCTCTGTTTACTTTGTTGGTGGAAGATTGTGATGGCGTTGGGCAGCCAATTGCATTTGCCATAATGACCAGTGAAGATCAAAATCACATAGAAAAGTTTCTTGAATATTTTGCAGAATGCAATGACATATCAAAAACACAATGTGTTGTTGTAGATAAAGATGTTGCTGAAATTAATGCCATAAATAAATGTTGGAACAATGTTAAAGTTCTTATATGCTATTTCCATGTTCTACGTGCCATAGACAGGCATTTAAATCTATTGCGCCTTGATCAGACACAAAATGAGTTGTGCTGTCGAGTAAGTACATAATGTAGATTTTGCTTCAAAATGAATGAAAATAGTTTAAAGCTTATATGTTTATATTTCTAGATTTTTTGTTATTGTTGATGAATTTACTTATTTAATGTTTTAATTATTAATTATTATTGTTTATATATTGATTATTTGTTTTGTTTTTTGTTTAAACATTTACCTTTTATGTACTTTACATAAAAATTTTTTTTATCACTTATTCAGTATACACAAAAGATGCTGAATGCCAATACTGAATTGGAGTTTAATTCAGCTGTTGAAAGTTTAAAAGAAGTACTATGTTTTTACCAATATATTGTGGAAAATTGGATTCCATATAAAGAGTCTATAACAGCTTTTGGTCGCAAATGTGTACGTCACCTTAGCAATCGTACAAATAATCGAATTGAGAGGTTTATTTTTTAAAAAACTGTTTTCTAGAATTATTTTTTTGTTTTCTTCCATTGTGCAAAGGTTTATTATAGTCGTCTAATTGCTTAAAATAAATGTCATTACATTAATTATGTCAGGTCGGGTTATCCTACTACTGGTAACATGTAATGCAGTACAATTGTTTTCAGGAAGGTCATTCATTTTTAAATAAATTGCTTTAACTCTTCCATAATGGCATTTAAAAAAATTTTGGAGAACAACCTAAACCAAACTAGTGTTGAAAACTCTCTTTTTTAAAAAGAGATTATCATAGCAATACATATTACTGACTTCATTTTAGCTTCCATGGTACTTTAAAGAAATTAATTCCTTCTTCAAGAGTTGATATGGATGTATTAGTCAACAATTTACTGGGTATGTCATCTCTCAGATCCATGGAATCTGTTCATCGAGATTTTGAAAATACATTAAAAAATGTAACAGGCAACAAATCTTCTCCTTTGGTAGAAAAATATTTTAAAATATGTACCCGGTACTCTTCTAATTTATTGCAAAATGAGGTAGAGATGGCTTGTTGTAATGGGTATACTATTAACAAAGTAATTTAATTGTCATTTATTCATATTTAATACTTTTAATAAAATAACATTTGTTATAGCTTGTGTTTTAATTGAGTGCATTTTTTAATATAATAGAATCATAGCACATCAGAGTTTGTGGTAACCAGCCCTTCTACACTTAATGCATATTTAATAGATCTTAATTTTAACTGTTCGTGCAATTTTCAAAAAGAAATGGGACTACCTTGTCGTCATTTGTTTGCAGTATGGATTGCTTGTGAAATAGACTTGTTTAGACCGGAAACAATTGCTTCAAGGTAGGTTTCATCTTTTTTGGGTTTTCTTAGTGACTGAGCTTTTATTTATATTTTTATTTTAGACAGTACATTTAATATTGTTAAAAATGATAATTTAAGTATAAAAATGCAGGTGGCTCTTGTCTACTAATACACCAAACTTGGCCAATGTTTCACAAAACACTACCATTTCTATGTCGCATGTTACTCCAAGTTTGTCACGTTCTTCAAGATTCAATTCCATTATGTTGTTAATGAAAGAAATTGCATCGTATGTAGCTGATCAGCCACAGAATTCATTTCCATTATATTACGAAAGTATGGAACGTCTGCAAAAATTTATTTTTAATAATACTCCAGAAAAAGCTCTTAATGCTTTAACAAACATTGAGTCAATTTATTTTGAATTAAACAACAATGCATTGGTTTCAGATTCGTCAAAGTATGTTAAAGCTTCTGACAACCAACCAACTGTTAATTGCAGTGTTGACACTGCCATTATTGCATCTAGTGATGTTGCATCAGATGTTGTCGCAGTAACTGATTTTGAAATAACTGATTTTGAAATAGCTGATGTTACAATAAATGATGTTGCAATAACTGATGTTGCATCAACTGTTAAAACTAATGAGGCTCAAACAAATGTTGTTTCAATAACTCAATCTAATGAGCAGTGTTCTTTTGAGAAACCTTTTACAGAAGAGTTATTTTTTGCCAGAATACCAAAGGTCCGTGGCAGGCCAGCTGCGACCAAACAGCGAGCATTTAAAATGTTTGGTAATAAAACAACTAAGCCATCATCTTTAATGCCAAAGATCTCAGAATCTCTGCAAAACAGTACAACAGAAAGTAGTGTAGGCCAATTTCAACAAAATGACAATTGCAAGGAATGTGGCTTTGTTGATCCTCCTAAAAAAAGAACTAAAACAGTTCCTTGGATTCAATGCGATCATTGTAATGGTTGGTATCACTCTTATTGTTCTGGTCTCAACAAGAAACTCAAGTCAAGTGAACAGTTTAGGTGCAAACAATGTGGTTAGTACATTGAATACTTTTCAACATATGGTTTTTACATAAACTATTAGTGTAAAATGATGTTTTTGTGTTTATATAGTTATATATTATAATTTATATTTATATATTTAGCATAAATTTATAGAGAGAGAGACTTATTTATATATATATATTTATATACTATTGGTAAAATATTTTATCTAAATTATAGTGATAATATAAATATGATTAATAGTAAGTAAATACTAGCTTGTTTACATTTTTTCCTCTTCATTTATATATATATATATATATATATATATATATATATATATATATATATATATATATATATATATATATATATATATATATATATATATATATATATATATATATATATATATATATATATATATATATATTATATATATATATATATATATATATATATATATATATATATATATATATATATATATATATATATATATATATATATATATATATATATTATATATATATATATATATATATATATATATATATATATATATATATATATATATATATATATATATATATATATTATATATCTTACCCTGCAATTTTTTTTTTCTATTTTTGAATCAAAGTAGGTCTTGATAAAACAAATAAATCAGCAATATGAAGGAATTTTAAGTTAAGTATTTTTTTCAATTATACATTTGAAGAAAGAAAAAAAAAAAAGATAAAGGTAAATTAAATTATTTTGAGTGTCTATAATGAATTTTGACATGTGGAAAATTATTTTGAGTGTCTATAATGAATTTTGACATGTGGAAAAAAAGAATAAACTGAAATGGTATTTTAATGCAAATGTAATATAAGTTTCTCACTGCAAAAATATTGATTTTATTATTTTTATTTACTTTTTTTATTTACCTTTTATAATTTTAGATAATGCTGAAATGATCAAGTTGTAGTATTACATTGTTTACATGTCAGGGAGCTAAAAGCTAATCAACATGAAGTGTCTATTAATTTTTTGTTCCTTGACATGTAATTTTGGGAATGGATGTTGTGATCATTAACTTCTTCGAAACGATTACAGTCGTGTTTAAATAAGATTCGGTTTCACTATTCAAGACAACAATGTCATACTAAATTATGGTGATTATTATGTAATTATGATTTCTTTATGTCTTTTTTACAATTTTGCTAATTTTTCTTATTTGATTGCTTTTCCATGATAATTTTTTTTTAGTTTAAAGGTGAGAAATATTAAATATAAATTACTTACAATGTTATGTTTTAAAGTTAATATACTTCTAAAAAATATTATTTAGCTTCGAGATTATGCCGAGTCATTTTTATTTGTTGTATTTTTGACTTAGCTGCACCCGGCAGAGAGAACTAGTTTCGATTCATACATCCAGAAGTTTAATTCATACATCCGAAAATCTAACATTTTTATTTCAATAGGTTTACATCATTTAATAAAACTAGCTTAATGTTAAGTGACTTTAAAAATAAAAGCTGAATATTTAACGCTTAAATATTTTTTACTTGTAATATTTAGATTTATGGTTTTTAAATTGAATTAAGAGTTAACCTTGTAATCTAAGTTATAATTCATAATTTAAGTATTTGCATTATTTTCGATTTGCAATATTCCAGAATCTATAAATTTTTCGGTTGAAATTAGGTCAAAGTGCCTGAATTCTTGACAAATTCGTTTACCTTTTGTCGTATAGGCTATATTTAATCGTGTATTTGTTAAAATCTGTTTAGAAACTAAATTGAAAAGATATTACTAGGATTTGGTCAATTAACCCTGTATTGAAATTTATTAGACAAATTAAAAGACTCTTAATCGTAAAAATAGATATAAAAATCTTTTTTGATGTGCAACTATATATAGTTGCCTTTTCCGTTAGTTAATCAAAAATAAATTACTTAGTTTTAGCACTAGCAAATTACGCGTTTGGTAAATGAGCTCTTCTTATAGTATTAATATATGCATTAACACATTAACAATAAATTTGCCAATAGGAAACCGCCATATTTGCTAGTTCGAAATTAGGCCTGAAGTGAACCAATTGTACTATTTCTACTATTTAAGGAAAAGAACCAGAAGAGTTAGATTTTCTCATTTAACTGACATTGAGTGATAAAAAAATCAAGTCTATTTTTTTCGGGCTAAACACGGTTAGCTATCATGTCAACCAACCTTTTTCTTTCAACGAAACGACTTGTTTCGTTGGCGTAATGCAGATTGACTTAGTTGACGATTCTTTTACTTGCGCAAGTATGCCTACTAATGAGTTGTTAATTACTTATTGTAAGTAATTAAAAGCATTTATAAGTACTAAACTAAGTATATTTAGGGAAAGCAGATCGGAGCAATTGCGAAAAATAAAAGTTGCTGTTAACCTAAGTAATTTTGTATTATTTTACTTAAATTAAATAAAAAATTAAATTTTATAAATTCAAAAAAAAAATTATAAATAACCTAAAATATTTTAATCATTTTTATACTTGGACTTTATTGACACTCGGGCAATATTTTATGTTTAGCAAAACCGTTTTGTTAGCAAAATAAATAATTCTGTGGCGGTATTTACCGCCACTTTATTAAATATAAACTATTTGTGATGGTTTTGTTTAATTTGCATTTTACCGCCACTCTAGCAAATTTTAAAGCTTAGCGTGGCGGTATTTACCGCCACTTTAGCAAAATATCAACTTTAGGTGGCAGTATTTTGCGTCATGAATTTTACCGCCACTCTAGCAAATTTTAAAGCTTAGCGTGGCGGTATTTACCGCCACTTTAGCAACATTCATATATATATATATATATATATATATATATATATAATAACTATATATGATACGTTATAATAACTATAAATGATATAGATATAAATATTATAGATTATTATACACTAATAATTTATAATAATATTATGTAATTTACAATATATTTCTATATGATATCACTAATAATATATATAATAACTATATATGATACATTATAATAACTATAAACAGTATAGATATTATAAATATTATGGATTAATATATACTAGTAATTTATAATAATATTATATAATTTATAATATATTTCTACTATAATAATACAAATAATATATTTAATAGTTATATACGATACGTTATAATAACTATAAACAATATAGATATTATAAATATTATGGATTAATATATACGAGTATATTATAATAATATCATATAATTTATATATTTCTACTATAATAATACAAATAATACATATAATAAATATATACAATATTTTATAACAACTATAAACAATATAGATATAAATATTTTGGATTAATATATACAACTAATTTATAATAATATTATATAATTTATAATATACTTAATATATTTATAATATAATATTACTAGTAATATATATATAACTAGTATTTATTTCAAATAAATTGTAAAATAGGCTTTTCACAGAACTATAACTTTTCCTTTTTCAAGGTCAACAACCAATGGAAAAGTCCATACTTGATTTTAGTTAGTCTCATCAAAATAAACCACATCAAACAAAGTTTTTTTAAGTTAGGAGTTAACTTGTTTACTTAAAGAACTTCACCTGTACACCAAAAGTATTTTTTAATGTCTATTTTCACTATTTTATTTTGAATAAATTTTCCAACGAGATAATTAACATCATTTAGAATAATAGGCAAGATGTTTATTTTTTGTTGATTTGCTAATTGAGACAGTCTTGCATTCTTTAATTTTTCAATTAATTCTTCTTTCTGTTTTGCCATCAAAATATCTTGTTCTTTTCTTTTAATAAGAACAACTCTTCTCTCGATGGGCTCTGGAAAAGTCCTTGTTCTAATAACTAATTGTAAATTCCTGAACAACTCACAATTTGTTAAGTCTATTCGCTTACTATCAAGCATTTTAGTTTTGTAAAAATATTTAGGTTCACACTTAACTTCCATTACATACCTATAAAAATCCAACTGTGCTCTTAATATTTTTTTGGTTTTAAATATTTCAACAAAATATATTCATAATCTGCTTCTTTTGAGGTCAACCACACCTTCGTCCCCAAATTTAACAACTCATTACCCGATTTAGCTTTTTTGATGAAGGCTTTATCTTCAGCTGCTTTTTTAGCTTTATGCTTTTCAGACAATTTTTCACTCATTTCAAACTCTAATTCTAAATGGGGTTGTTTGTATTTATCTTTCATTTTACTAAAGTTTGTTGAAGCATTTTTTAGCAATGAATCACTTTCACCTAAAGTCTTTTTATATAACCAGTCTAGTGTTTTGTTTTTATACCACATAGTATAAGCTTGTATAGTTTGTATTTTGGCATTAGGCTTTGTACAAATTAAAAGATCCAATACTGCAAAGTCTAATTTCTAAAATGTCACATATATCTAATGTTTTTGTTAGTGCATTAATAGTACAATCTGCATCACTGCCAGCAATTTCACAGTTCTTAACTCAAGTTTAAAAGATAAAGTACTTCAGTTTTTGGTAGTAACTTGGAAATTTTGAAAATGTCTATGATGTTTAGTGGTATCGTCACTATGAAGAGAATTGCCCGAATTATTTTCTACAGTGTTTATCATTTCTTCTGCAACTTGAAGTTGAGCAAGTGCTAATGCTTAAGTCATAAATCAAGATTTTGCACCAATTGAGGGAAGCTTCTCTATATCTACCTTTGCTACTTTTTTTAAAACAATTGTGATTACTTCATTAACTTTGTTCATGAACTCCATAATAACTTCTCTTATATCATTAGAATACCTTCCATTTTGAAATGTTACTACTTTGCGATCATGGAGAAGACAACTTAAATTAAAATCTTTATTTTCTTTGCTTAATACTCTAGTGTTAGGAGAGTCAGTATTTGAACTATTAGAAGAAAAAATTTCATGTTTATTTACTACCATGCTAAACTTCTTGTTTGTATAATATAATTTTTTGCATGTAATTCTTTTTTCCTCATGAAGGAGTGCAACTTTATTGTCAAGCTTAACTAACAAAATTTTAACTTTTCTATTAAGATTTGTAATGACTTTATTATAGAAATCTTTTATTTCCTTATTTTGTTTCTTTTTTAATTGACGAATCTTCGATTTATTACTTACATGTAATAATTTATATGTCCTTTC